TTGTTATGGAAATCCTTGGTTGCAGCTATGTCACGCTTCAGCTAATAACAACAACTAAATTGACTGGTAGATTGCTGTAAAGCAGGGTAGGGTGCTACCTTTAGCTTAATATCTTCACTAATGCAGAAGATAGCTCCAAGGGAGTTTATTAAAAAGTTAGTGTCAAGCTCTACATCTCAAAGCTCCTTATGGTTCCTTAAAAGCTGAAAGAATTTTAACTAGATTTTCCATATCTTAATAACACGAAAGAATGTTTTTGAAGACTGCTGTTCATTGCGTCATAATCTCTTTAACTGTGTTAAGACACTAAGATTTTTTTAAATAACAGTGTGTGTAATTTTGAGGAAAAAAGGATATCAATATGTGATTATTATGAAAATGAAGAGGCAGCTAGTAGGTATGGAGTTTTTCAGAATCCTTGATGTGTTCAGTGTAGCATTACTAAATGACTGAAATCTAAATAACATTTGGCATTATAATAGAAGAAAATAACTGACTAAGCTAGCCTAAGAAGCAGTGATACTGCACCATAATAAGAAGTGTTTTTCTTCAAGCACCCAATTCTTTGACTTTCTTGTCTGAAATTAGACTGACGATAAAGGGAGGAATTAAAGATATATACTTACCATATAAGTAAGCAGAGCACAAAAGATTAGGTGTCAGGATACATGTTCAAAAGACATATTTGACAAAAAACTTTACTCGCGTGAGTAGCTGTCTTCAAGACTGGACCCTTTGTGAGTATGTTCTTTGACTGAAGCACATCCTTGAGCTATTATTAGGCTTAATAATAACAGTGAAGATTTTAAGGTAATTTGAAAGCCTTGATGTAGAACCTATCTTGCAGACTCCCATGATATTGTGCGAGAAGAACCTCTGGACCATGCTGCCTGGATATTTAATTTACTTTTTTATGTATCTACTTGTGTCTTTTCATTAATTGTAATAGTTCTGCAAGCTTGGGATTACAATGGCAATGCTCTCCTTTTAATAAATTCAGCGTAGCTACTGTTAAGTGCTCAGTAAATGGAAAACCATCTGTTTTCAAGGAGCAACAAAATAAGGGAAAAAAAACTCTTCCTTTGGGCAAAACAGTTATCCAAGGGTTATAATAGCTACTGTATATTTCTCCATGGTAAAGAAACCATTTCCCTTTTTCTTCCTAAAATCATCATATATCTCTAAAATCAGTCACTTACTGTAGGATTGTTGTCAGGCATAACATATCCCAGCTGCATTTTAGAATGAATTTTGCTGGGACAAGGGGTCCTTGGAGCTTACTGAATGGGTGAGAGCTTTTAAAGGGAGAAATCAATACTACAGCAGGATTTAGACAACTTAGCAAAATATATCAGACAGAACTTTGGGCAAAGGATAACTGTAAGAACAAGTTAACCCGTGCAGTTCCTGAAGTATAGTCTGTAGCATTTCACTTGAACTCCTATCTGAATATTAGAACATTACTGTAGTAGCTGGCTAGAAGTATCCAGGACAGTAACGGCTGCAAATCGTTTTCCATTAAATGTCTTGTTCTAACATGTTTATTGTTTTCCAGAATTCCCTTTACTGTAATTTTTCATATATGGCCTCAGGTTAGACAGACGCAATTAAGGAGTTTATATAAAAATCACACTTTTTTCTGAGTTAGTACTTAATAGAAGCTTAATAGTTAGTTAGTACTTAATAGTTAATATTAAGTTAGTACTTAATAGAAGCAAGAGCAACTTTCTTATAGTCGGAAAGAGTAAGCAAGCTCATTTCAACTACAAAATGAGCCGAAGCATAGTTTCTTGAGGGAAGTGTTGCTAGAGAATGACTCTTTACTTGGCTGGGGTGGAAGAGATTAGCACCTGAAAGCTTTATCACTTCTGCCTGTATCTGCTCAGGTCTGAGCAGAATATACTTTTAGTCACTGCGTTTCCCATGCATGGACTGACGTGAGACACAGGGACAGCTGCCCATAGGCTAATGTTGCATTTGTGTAAGGAACAGTGTAGCTTCTTTATAATGCATCCTGTGAAGAAATGTCAGGGAAGAAAAAAAAGGAAAATCTCCAGCAGAACTGAACTGAAGAGTGATTTTAGAGTCTCTGTAATATCCTATTAATTTAATTAAAAATTTTTTAAACTCTTTTTTCTATTGAAATGAGACAGAAACAGTAATAGCCAGTAAACAGACTGAGTAAATGGCCAGTAAAAACGAGCTATTACTAGTCAAATAATACAACTACAAATGTGGGAACTTGTTCCTTTCCCACCTTATCCATTTCAGTAAAGTGTGAATTTAAAAAGCCCAGTTGGAAATATTTGAATGACAGCATGCAAGGCAATTAATTTGTTTCTTTTGCTGGTTTCAAAACCAAGGAAATTAAAGACCACATTAACACCTCACTGAATTTCCTTGCAGTGCTGCCCTCAGATAGAGTTAAACTGTGGGAAAGGATATCTCTTACAAAGTTTTAAAGCCTTCAGCTAAGGTATGAGAGTTCCAAATTTACCCATTTAGCATTCTTAATGGCCTTCGGCAAAAATAGAAAAGAACGGACATCTTTCTTTAAAGTGTTTTCTCATTGTTTATGCAATCCTATTCAAATCATAAAACATGAATAGTTAACTTTGTGACTGCAATTAATACTTCTGCTGGAAGCTTGTGTTTTTGTGACTTTTCCTGGCTCT